ACCTGAATGGCATCCACAATCACCCCTAACCAGCTTAAAGTCTGTGTTCTAATGTTGGGCTGCTAGCTGTAGAGCTGCAGCCGTGTGTTTGTGACAGCAAACATGAGAGAGTAAAAGTGTCAGTAAAGTATGCTGAAAAGCATGTTCATGTACACATCATCGGGTCTGCTGTGGTACGTTTACAACAGTTTAGTTCAAATTTATGTAACATTAAATCAAAAATCTCAAGAAATATTACACAATAAAACTTGCCAGTATTATATTTTTGAATGTCAGACTGTCATATTTGACTGTTTATTATAGAGATAATAATAACAATATTGATTTTATTCTATCAGTTATGTGATCTGCATCTTGTCAAATTACTTGTTTTTTCAATTAGCTCAGAGACAGTTTACCACATAAGCCTCTGTTTAGAAAATCTTTGACACTGTATTATAAGCTCAGTCTCAGTTCAAATATCAACGAAATACATCAACTCAAAATAAGATTTATGCAGCTTAACTCTGATTCTGCATTCATGTTGAAGCTGAACATGAAAGACTAGACACAGAGTCAAAATGGTGAGAGTGGTTTTATCTGCTTGTCATCAGAAAACATCTGTGTCATATTTATATATTGATTAAAAACCAAACTGGTAACCTGCTTTTGTTTTATTTTCTCTTTTTAAATATTTTTATGACTTGTAATCTTATGTGCAGCACTTTGTGATTCTGTCTTGAAAGGTGCTATATAAATAAAAATTTATTTATTTATTTATTTGATGCAGAGCATATAGATTTTAGAAATAAATGTGTAAATAGTGTTCTGAAAGAGAACGTTCCTAATCCTTTAAAAATATATCACAAAGTAAATTAAGCTCCTTTTGTTCCAAAGATGTTATGTGAAAGTACAGGTTTTCATATATTGTTCCTTACGTACAGCTACACTGTAACATTTGTGCATTTGTAGAATATATCAAATAATATACTCTGGACTGAAAAATCTTTGTTGAATCCCTCCCCCTCGCTCTGTCTCTTTTTTAGTACATTTCTAGCAGCTTAATATCAGATATGATCACCTTTATTCTGCAACACAGTCTGAAGTCTCTTAGGCAAACTTTCTTGTAATTTCTTTAAGCAGTCTTCAGGAATAGTTCTCCAGAGTTCTTCAAGGACATTCAAAGCTCTTCTTTGGATGTTGGCTGCACTTTCTGCTGTTTGGTCAAGAACACTGCTCCCACACTGCTTCAATAATGGTGAATTGCAGGTTTTTGTGGAGGCCAGATGTTCCATCGTGTTGTTTTCAGTTGGTCCTGAATTTTATATTGCTGTCAATAAAGAGAGATATGTGTTTATGGTATTAAGAAGAACTGTAATCTTTCTCCCAGTGAATACTTTAATCGATCCTTTAACATTTGGTATTTAGATATTTCTGAGCTGTTGCCCATCAGCTGGAGGTCACACACACCCCACTGGCAGGTTAGGGTTGGGGGGGTGTGACTATTGCCAGTCACAAACCTGGATAAATGGTGCATCACGAAGGACATCAGGAGTAAAATCTTTACCATGTCAAACATGGTAATATGTCAAACACATATCACTGTGTCAGTGGCCGTGTTAGCAGCAACCTCCTGAGGTGCTGTTTGCCAACAGACTGCCAGTAAAAACTGTGACAAAGCAAGAGTGGTCCAACAAGTTGGATGTCAGAAGAGAAAGAGGAATTGTGAAGTAAATCGGAGTATTTGTACCCAGGGATGGAGGCAGTGGTTCTTGGGCATATGAATGAAACAGGGATAATGACTAGGTGCTGCGTAGGTATGGTGTTATGAGGAGAAATGCAGAAGGACAGATGTTCATGGATTTTCCTAGAAGGTTGAAACTGGTTGTGATGAACATTTGCCTTTAAGAAAAGGTTAAATTTATGAGCTAAACCTCTGAGAACCTAATATTATTATCTTGTAACAGAAAGTAACAGATAGCAGTATTTGTATAACAGTTTTGTGCAAATTCCCTGCTGACTCGGCCTCAGGATGTCTAGAGGCAAGAATCAAGCGCACCCAAATGAGCGCATCAGTGATCATGTGCGCATCACGCAGAGGGAGAGTGAGAGATGAAAAGCAGCAGCAGAGCATGGCAGTTGTATCGCAGTTTGTGTGATTCAGTGTGCGTTAATGAGACTGTAAGTGTTATTACCTTTGACAGGTTAACTGGTATGATAATAGTTATAGTTGTTTGTGTATGTTTAAGCTAAAGTTATGCCTCAGTACACTGCTATCACATTAGTAGGTTTATTTAATTATGTAATTAATTAGCACTAAGTTAATACCAGTGGCCAGAATCTCCTCCAATGACTATATCCCGCGGTTAAAGGATTTTTCTGTTGTTTATTGTTTAGTTTAGCTGTTGTTAGCTTGCCACATTCTTGCCTTAGTACTAGCAACTGGTAAGATATGTGCTATTTAGCCAACTTCTGGTCTTACGGCGACCCCTTGTGGACATTGTAAAATATTGCTGTGTCTGAGTAGTTGATGTGTTCTGATTGTTGCTTAGTTATCTTTGATAACTAATTATAGTATTACCTGTTTCTGTTTCCAGAAAACCATACTTATAGTCACCTATACTGCATCTGCCACAATTATAAGTGCATATCTGGCTGTATCACAGTTGGATTCATCCTGGCAAGCCCTGCTGTAACCAGTTCTTCTGTGAAGCTTCATTAAAGACGGTGAACTAAACTCCTGGACTGCTGCAGTCTTTCTGACTGAAGACTTAGGCCAGACTTGTATACCCAGCACTCCCAGTATATATATATTATACAAGTTTGATGGTAAAAAAAAAAAAAGAAAAAAAGATGAAAAGATTGTTTTTCTGTATTTGCTCTGTCATACATATTTGAAAAAAAAATTATTATTGCAGTTTTTCTTGATTGCTTTGACCCACCTAAAGATGGTGGGTTCCCTCAGTTTTCATCATCATTATATCAGTAGTACAGAAGACACCTCTTGGAAATGTTTTAACCCACAGTTTTGCAAAACAGTTAACACGGATGTCATTCAAACAGTCCAAACCTCACTGCTATGGTAACCAAACAGAAATCAAAAGGTTCCACATCTGTGTTGTTCTTTACCAGCATGTATGGAGGAGGTCTAAGGCAGATGAGAGTGAGTATCAAAAGTGGTGATTTCTAATGCTGTAACAGATTTTATTTTGCTTTACATGTATTTTCTGTAATATTTCATGTATTCCAGTTTTTGGGCGTTCTCATATTCAAGTGAGAAGTGCATCAACATAGTAACAAATATATATATTAATAAAATATATTTCTACACTTTAACCATGTGCAGAAACAACAGTAGTGTGTGAAAACGATGAGAATGATTAATGCGTTACTGATTTCAGAACTGCATTAAGAGTGGTGAGAATTGTGTTTCTGCTCTGAGAATTGTGCAAATGCAATTGATAATATGTATGTAATATCAATTTAGTTAAGCTGATATGTTTTGTCAGGAATCGTGTTTATAAAATAAAGCAAGGCAAATAAGGTGGCCAGTAAAGAAGTCCAAAGCTGCATAATTTTTAATCACTAGAGGGCACCATTATTTAAAAATTACTGAGCTGATGGTGTTTCCATTGTTCAGGTTTTAAAATCAAATGTTACATTTCAAACCCAGTTTGGCTTAACTATGTTTTTGTTGAGTGCAGGTATGGTGGCGTGTGTGGAGATCAATTTCAGGTGTGACAGAAGGATGGCAAGAAGAGCGAAAGTAAAGGTTTGCAAGATTGTAGTGAGACATGCTATGATTTATGGTTTGGATCTGGAGGTTAAGATCTTCAATGGGAGTAACCCGAACGTACAAGACTCAAAATAAGTATCAGAGGGAACAGCTCAGGTTGAGGATTTTGGAGACAAAATTAGAGAAGCAAGTCTGAGAAGGTTTAGACATGTGGTGAGGTTTTTAAATACTGGAGAAGTGTAATCGAGGGTGCTGAATATCGAGCTGTCAGGCAGGAGGAAAAGAGAAAGCCTGCAGAAGTAGATAATCTACCGTGGTGACCTCTAGAGGGAGCAAACAAAAGAAGATGAAAAAGCTGTGGTTTTCCTGATCTGCCCAGGCAACTAATATATAATATCAGAGATTATATTTCAATCTCCACACACATATTCTGCTTTGGATTTCTTCTTTCAGCATCTATTTTCCTCCACATACTGTATCATATACAGATGTAATAGCTTTAATGCACCCACATTGCCTAAACTATTTTTATTAAAAATCAAAAGCAAAAAAATAAAACATCAAAAAAGCATTGTGTACCCTGTGCTCATCAGTCTACATTTTAAACAGACTTAAACATAGAGCAGGAGCAGAATATAACCAAGAAGAGTTATTGAGAGGCTCTGTGTAATAAAAGCTACATGCATATTTGTGGTTTGAATGGTGACACTTTTTTTGTGTTTCACTTCTTTCTGTGTGCAGTGACGGTAACAGTTGCTGTGCCACTGATGTCTCCTTTTATGGTGAAACCTAACATGAGACCTCGACACACAGAAATTTGGTACATTTCAAAACCACTGAAAAACACACCAATCATTAATGCTTGTGGAAGTGTTTCAAGGTTTGACAGGTAAAAATAATTGACTGTTTTTCATTAAATTCGTAGGCAACTTCTTTCTTTTGTCTCTCTTTGCAGCTCTATTGTAGTCACATCCTGCTGTATTTAATTTGAAATGAAATTTGAAATATGCAGCAGCTGTGGTAATAAGTGTGGTCACTGAATCGATGTTGATATTATCTTTAGTGTTCTGCAGCAGGTTGAGCTACACTTACGATAAATTTATACAAAAATAAAATTCATTATAAGTTTTCCTTGGATTTACAGTTGCCTGGATATTAAATGAAAGCTTTCTTTGCTACAATTTCCACTGATGTTTGTGGATGATTACTATTTACACTTATTACATGTAAGGAATCACTCGGACAGCTGAAAACTGTACCAGCACACACTGAACAGTGAGGAAAGATGGAAGCTGTGCTTGGATTGATGATTATTCTACTGGGAGTTGCTCAGGGTGAGTTTTTCAGCTTTTCAGATGCAACACTTTTATAATGTCAAAATCGTATATATCAACAGTGTGTTTTAAAGCCATGGCATGTGTTAGTACATTTGACTACTTGAAAACAGCCAAAGGATCTCTTGTCTTTTATTTGTTTATAATTTCATCTTATTTACAGTATGCACTTAAGGTAAAAACAAGCAGTGCTGAGTTATAGTCATGTTGACAAATACCGATTTCCAACATGACTAATGTGTTCATCAGTTACAGTAGCTGTATGATGCAGTAGTGTTGAGTGATATTTTTTTTAAAGTTTTTAACTGGAAAAAATAAAGCTGCAGATAAATGGAGAAATTCTTTACTTTGTGCATAAAGTTTTAGAATTTAGGCGGTTTTTGTTCATCCTTGCTGCACAAAACCAACTTCTTCTTCAACTTCTTCTTCTTCTAGTTTTTGTGGTTAAAATGGAATTACCTCATAATGGAATCTTTTTACCTATTTTCTTTTCCCCACATCTAAGGATGTTTACTTTTCCAACTAAATGTTAAAACTTTAAATTAAAATTTCGTAAGGTACAAAAAGTAGCTTGGTTTACTTAAAATTTTATTGCCATGATTTCGTAGTTGTCATAGGTGACATATTATACACTGTTTACTTACCAAATTGCTTTAGTAGTACTCTATTTTCCGTACTATAAGGCACATTTATAATGCTTACATTTTCTCAAAAATCAGCAGTGCAGTTTATAATCCGGTGCGCCTTATGTATGAATTCTGGTTGTGCTTACTGACCTCGAACCAACTTTATGTGATAAACCGTGCTCAAAAATCTGTCAAAAAGGTTTTTAGTACGACTTTGGTAAGCTATGAAACCGCACTGTTGTCGGAGCATTATGGATAACATAGTCAGGAGCCTCATGGAGTAATCTGGGTCCAAAACATCTGTTTCAGGTCTTAAAGATAAATGAACACTGGGGCATCACTGGGAGTTAAAAACCTTCTAAATTCTCTCATCTTTAATATAATGATCAGCATTGCTGCTTTACCAGGTGTAACAATTAAGTTCAAAATCCAGGCATCCATGAAAACAGAATTTATTAAATTTAATGGAGTTAGAAGTTAGCAGTGAGTTAGCTCGCTAGTTTCCACCTAAACATGATATACCATGTTCTGACTGAAAGATTTTGTAAACAAATTAAGACGTACAACTATGCTATCACTTCCGACATAAATGAAGAGAGAAACTAAACAGCAGTGACGTTTGTAATGTACACTATATAAGTGGTGTATATAGACAAAGGCATCTCTTAATATTTAAATTCAGGTGTTTTCAGTTACATTGCCACAGGCATATTAAATCAAGCACCTAGCCATGCAGCCCACTTTTACAAACATTTGTGAAATAATGCAAAGCTTTAAAGGACCCCATGAATTGATGAAATAATACAATAAATCAAAATTTAAAGTATAAAACTAGGGACAAAAAATTTATAAAAAATAAAATGGATTGCAAATAGCAGTAATAACAAGACGAAACATGAACATAGCTATTAAGTTGAAGCCTTCAATTTGACACTATTATAAACTCATAGTGTGTTTGTCTCATATGACTCTAATTACAGATGTAGGCCTGTCGCTGCTATTATTACAAAGAGTAATGATGTGAAACCTTTCAAGTATAAAACTAGGGACTGCTCTCACTTCCAACATAGATGAAGACAGAAAACTAAACAGCAGTGACTTTTGTAGGGTTACTGAAGTTGGGCTAGCTGGTATATAATGATTTGCTACATGATTGCTAGTGACACAGCTATGTTAGCACAACATTAACACAGTGAAGCTAGAGGACGAATGCTAACTTTTTTCCACTCAATAAAAGTTAACGTGAGGGTTCCCGATGGTCTTCGGACAAATGCAATCGCATGGCTGGATGCTATAAACAGACCAAACTTCAGTCAGGAGAACAACTGAGATAACCCATCCACAATAAAGGTTAGTCATTAATATACTGCAACGATATGGCAATATAGCAGCTGCAAGAAGATTCAACATTCATCAATCAATGGTACGGAAATGGAAGAAGCAAGAAGAATGAGTTGAGCAAAATTGACTTATCTGACGCTTATCTGCCTTATGTATGAAAACAGACCCGTTCATGGACAGTGCACCTTATAATCCAGTGTGCCTTATGGTCTGAAAATATGGTATATTTAGTAGTTAAGATATCTCTAAATTTTGGATTTTACTACTGTAACTTTGCAAGTTTGTTGCAAAGTTTGTAGTGATTATGTTTGCGGTGGCCGTGTCCTGGAGCCTCTATTACCTCTGACATATAAGACACAATGCCAGTTATAATACCTTGTTTTTACACATTATTACCAATTAACCCATGTTGAGTGAAATATTCAGAATTATTTTTTAATTTCTTTAGTGCTGCTTAATATCTTTTTTGTTGTTGTTGTTTTTTTCCCAAAATGTTTTTGAATTTGCAGGTGTGGAAACTTACTGTGATGGCAGACAGGATGGAGCTCATTGTTATGGAGCTTTGGGAGGAACTGTGGACATCCAGCTGATGGACAGCACCTCAGAAATACCTAGATACCAATTGTTAAAGGATTCATTAAAAATATTGGATGTAAAACACAATAAGAGTTTTCATGATACCACAGAGAACAAATTTCTATTTTTTCCTAGTAATGGAACATTTAGGATCAGTAGCCTAAACAGGAATGACCATGGTAAATATACCCTTCAAACCTTTGATTCAGATGGAAGAACATCAGATGAGCGGACGTTCAAGTTGGTCTTTCAAGGTCATTTTTTCCATTTCAAGAAATGACTACAATTATTATATATAGTGCTTAACAAATGTATAAAAACACCAAACATTTTAAACTTTATAGACAAATACTTTATAGTGTTTAAAATATAATTTGGATTAAAGGGCTAATAAATATTGGTGCATGAAAAATCATAGAAACATAAAACATTTCTTTGCTAATCATCAATAATGTTTATTTAACGCAGGTGTGGTTTAAACTTTGCATTAGATGGTAGCCTAATAAATGTGTTAAGCCCTGTAAATTTAACATTATTTTGGGTAATCTACATAACATATCATCTTATATAATATATCTCATATTCTGTGTGGTATAGATGGTCCTTTACTTTACAACATAAACAGCTTGAGGCAACTGTTGTTGTGATTTGTTGCTATTAATAAAATTAGATTTGATTAGATTGAATTTGAATATTTAATTGAATATTCTAAATTTAACTGTATTTTGTGGCTACAATTCTCTTCCTTATATACTATTAAGAATGAACAGTTCTGACATATAATATCAAAACTCATCTGTGTGTGTTTCTCTCAGCTCCTGTGTCCTCTGTCCTGCTGGTCTCTGAGTGTCTGTCCCAGGGAGAGATGAGGGTGTCCTGCTCCTCTGAGGGAGGGGACAGTCCTCAGTACAGCTGGACTCTGGATGGACGCACACTGACAGATGCTGAGCTCCTTTCTGGAAATAATAAGAGTAACATCATCACTCTGAAACAGCACGTCTCAGGACATCTGGTCTGCTCAGTGAAAAATCATGTCAATAGTGTCTCCAAAGAACAAAGGATATGCACTTGTGGTGAGTAAGAACATGATGCAAAAATATCTTAAGAGTTATGAGTTTTACATGTGTCATAAATTATTGAAACAGCAAATGAATTCCTCAGGATTCACATTCATTAACGGCACTTTATCTGATGGGACACACATTGCAAAGTGGGTGCTTGCAACCAAAAATACCCTGTGTATTAAACCAACAATGGGCCCTATAACAATCTCTGACACTGCTCTAGGTAAGGAATCAATCCTCTAGTAGTATCACTTACGCCAATGGTAACTCAGTTATACATAAGTGAACCTGGTCAAAGCTCTAATTTAATGTGATATTTGCGTCTCTGAACAGATAACTCCTTACTCTTATGTGGTTTGAGAGCAGTGATGGGAATTCTCTTATTAATTGGGATTTTCATCTACTTTGCTTGGAAGAAAAAGAAAACTGAAAAAGCTGAAGTCTCTGCTGTCCCACAAACGATGGACTATCCAGACAACTCTGTTCTGATGGTTGAAAGGAGAAGTTCTACTTCTTGCAATGTGTAGTGTCAACTTTGATCTACTGACATTTCACATCTCTGTGCGTGTGAAAATAACACTTAGATGACACGTATCTCTTGTTTTTATTCACTAATCATGTTTTACATTTACACAGCTTACACTGAATTACCATGAGAAGGTCTGAGTATTTTCTGCATTTGTATACTGTGGAAACTAATATAACAAATGGTGTAACTGTAAGTAGAGTAGTCTTTTAATCTGAGACATTTTTTGTCAAGCTTATGGTGGCCTAAAATCAAATACATATTACATAATTGCAAATAGAAATAATCAACCCACCAGAAACTACTGTTTGTACTAAACTGAATTTGAGCACTGTTGCAAGTGGTTGAAATCAACAGCACTGATTCATACTGTGTACTTTTCTTTTGTTATTGCTACACTTTAACAATATATTTGTAGGACATGTTAATATTAATAGTGTGCATTAGATGATTTACATACATAGTCACACAACTCAATAACAGTTGTGACTAAAAGATGATTGAATAATGTAGTCAGTCATAACTGAATGATGTAAAAGGTATCATGGTCCCCAAGGTTTTTAAGTTCTCTTTAGCTTTGCATTTTTTGAAAATCTTTGTTACATTATTCTGCATTGGTTTCATTTCCACGTTGTGAGGGGTTTACCTAAGGTTTTTCTTAGTGTTTTGTGTTCTTGTTTCATCAGTTCTTTTGGTAGCATTTCAGTCTGGTTTATTTATTGCTGTGTTTTCTTTCTTCCTTTGTGTATCTGTCTGGTTCTGCCTTTTCTGTGTTTGTTTACCTTTCTGTCTTTGTGTCAAGCTCATATGTCGTAGTCTAGGTATCAATGTTAGTCATTTCCTGTTTTAATTTGATATTCTGTCGTCCCTTGTGCTTTGTGTTCTATTTTGTTTCTCTTATTTCATTAGCCTGGGATAAGTGTCAGCTGTACTCCCACCTCTTGCCTGTTCCCTCATCTTCCTATATGTTCATGTATGGCCTCAGTCTCATTTAGTTTTTCGTTCTGTTCTTCCTCTAGACAGTGTGCCTCTTGCTGTGTGTTCTGCGGTTCATGTGTCCTACCAAGTAAACCTAATTCATTAGTTCCTGTTTCCACCTTGATTGAATTATTTTGTATTCTGTATTTTAGTTTTTGTTCATTTAGCAATAAAGCTGTTTTGAGTTTAACTTCTGTCTTTGCGTCCTAACCTTCCTGCTACACAGCCAGTGACATGTGACACAGGAAGCATGATGTTTAGAGTGTGAAACAATAGCACAGTGTGACTGTCCATATCTTATCAAGATGTACAGTTTCAGAGCTTCTGCTTATAAGCAGATCTGTCCACTTGCTTAGCCAAGTTTTGTTAAATTCAACCAGCAATTTTGTAAACAAAACATCTCAAAACCTTTGTTTTTAAATGGATACATGGACTGATACTGTGATGAGGTCAGACACTGCAATAGATTTCAAACTTAGATGACTACTGTAAAACTATTAACTATTAAATAGGTCAGTACAAGAAAGCGTTGATGATAAAGAGTATTCTTATTGTTACAGCAAGTGTAAAATACCCTAAAAAACCTTTTATTGTCAAGAGCTGTTTATTTTGGGTTCCTCTAATACCTTTAGGGCCTTTGAGGTAGTGCAATAAAAACTACATTCAATAAAATCACTTTAAACAGAATATGGTCAGACAAAGCTTTAAATGGCCAAGAAAAACAATGAAAGCAGCATTATTTATATGTGTCAATGGAGAGAGCCATTATGTGAGATATTTACAATAGTTGTCTTGGTGTTATGCCTTTAATGTTCAGGTCTTAAAATGAAACAAGAAGCACTCAGAGTGTGCAAACCTCTACTAAGACATTTACTTTGAAAGGAATAGTATTGTACTCAATTTGTTTACATTTATTCCTTTAAATGTTTTTGAAAAGTTTGTAGTACAATAAAATGGAATAGAGTAGACCTTTATTGTCATTGTACATGTACAACCTAATTGCCACACCACCTGTACAGGAATAAAATGAAGATAAGATGGAGAGAACGTGGTAATGGAGGATTTTTAGTGACTTATCAACCACAGCACATTCACCATTGGAGGTTTCACAAGCAACAAGCTGAGTAATGAGAAACCTAAGCCAACTCCAACCTTTCTTGCACAGCCTAGCACACCTGACAACAATGGTGTGGGGGGTCTGGGTGGAGGCACAGGAGAGACACATAGCTACTCTCAGCTCATGCTTGAAGATGACAGTTTGTGGCAATAATGTTCACTCTTTTGGGTTGTCAGGACAAGTGGTGAAACAAAGTTTACTTTATTGATAACTTGCCTGTTCTAGTTATCTTTTGTGTTTAATGTTCTGTGACCGTGACTTGTGTTTGATTCTATAGTTGTTATTACTCTTTGTCAAAAACATGCAGTTGTTGTTCAGCAGAGCATGAAGAAACTTTTGATATTTGCATATACTATATACTACCATGAAAGCCACACCTTGTGACAGGAGCATAATGTTTTATTTTGTTTTATCTGGGGATTTGCTTATACTGACCCTGCATGACTTTCTCGTGTGTGTTTTCACCAGTTTTAACAGTGTAAAAGGTCAGTTGTTGTGAGAATTGCTCACTGTTCATTGCTTATTTTTTATTTTACAGTAGGAAACTCCTTCAGTTTCTTGGGCTACAGTGCGGAAAGTCACTTGATGCAGCAAAATACATCTTGTATTGAAAGTAGAAAAATGTAGAGAATATGAAAATGTCTTTCTGTTTTCCTTGAAAGCACAGACAGTTTCTATTGAGGTAATTCAGTGAATTTAGGGCTCAGTGCACCACTCTCACTGATGACATGATGGTTTTCATCAAACAGTTTCTCTCTTGTCTTCCCTGTAGGAGGTGGTCGAGGAGGTGGGAACTTGATTCTGGGGTGTGACTGGCTGTTCTGGTGTGGTTGTTGACCTGCAACTTTGGGGTTTGTGGTCTGGGGTAGCTCAGGCCTCTTCAGTAAGGGGGAGGGACTGCCAGGTGTTGGGCAGTTCTCGTATGGTTGCGACCAGTGATGGGAATAACGGCGTTACAAGTAACGGCGTTACTAACAGCGTTACTTTTTTCAGTAACGAGTAATCTAACTAATCACTATTCCTATTGTTACAACGCCGTTACAGTTACTCACAAGAAAATGTGGCCTATTTTTCAACAAACAGACGGTTGAAGCTGTGTTCAGATTACCACATCTTATATCAGTTGCACGGAAGTAGCTGCCTATGTAAGTAATCCGGACGCTACAGCTTTAAGCAGCTGCGCGCGCTCCCCCGGATGGTAATCATGACCACTGTCTAGCACAACACCTGGAGCTAAGGGGGCAAAACAATCGCATGAGTGCAGCTGTTTGACTGAGGAAGAATAAAGTAGTCGTGGTAAGCCAATCACATGACCACTTAAAGACAAAGCAACAAGGTGATATATACCAGTTTTTAAATTGTGTTGATAGGCCACATAAAACCAGAGTAATGATAAACAATATATACGCGGTGTTTTTTCTTCAATAGTTTTGTCACGTTTACTGTCTAAGGACAGCGCCAGCAAGCACTCTCTGCTTATGAGCAAAAAAAACCCCCCCCAAAAAAAAAACAGGGGAAGTTTTAGGAGTGACGGCGAGAGAGAGAGAGAGAAAGACAGCAAAAAAAGAGAGAGAGCGAGAGATTTGTGACGTTTAGCGTGTTTGGAGTGTGTAGTTAATGTGTTGTCTTGTGTAGTTAGTGGTGTTGTCTTGTGTAGTTAGTGTGTAGTGTTGTGGATAGTTTTGTGTGTCAGAACAATGAGGCGACCGCTGTCTCCAGGTAGAAAAAGAAGTGATACACCTGCTGCTGTCAGGCCTGCAGGTATCAGGCTGTGATGTTCTCCTTTATAGTGGACAGAAATTGTGTTTTTGGAGTGGCACGAATAATTTGTGTGGCATCTTTTTGAATGCAGAACAGCTGATTGTACTGTAAATAGTTTGAAATGGTTATTTAAAAAATCAAGGTAAAAGGTAAATGGATGCAAATAACTGTGTTGTTTGCAAAACTTGTGCAAAGGATTTTAAAATTGACAATTTATATTTGCATTTAAAGTTATGAAATATGATTCATTAAACATGTTTGTGGTTGTTACAGTAAAAATATAACTTTTTCTACTCTGATTTTATGTTTTTTGTCTGATTTTAGATCAATTGTG